TGTTTGTATGTGGAAAGCTAAATTTAATTGTTTAAGTGTGGACTCGAGGGTGAGATCAACAGGGGTTGCTCTAGCTTCACGCTGTGATTGTTGTGATACAGGACAAGTGGAAACACTTGATCATGTGCTCAATTCTGGTGATATTGCTAAAACAGTTTGGAAATGGGCCTCTGTGGCCTTGGGAGTGCACTACTTGGAGGGACAATCATGGTGGTCTAGAGTTAATCGATGGTTTACATGTGCTAAAAAGGTCTCACAGCGTGGAATTTTAATCGGGCTTTTACCAAGTTTGATAACTTGGAAGCTTTGGGGACGTCGATGCAAGGCACGTATAGAAGGGAATCGAGAATCTGTAGAGAAGGTATGGTTTGCTATAAAGGCTTGGTTGCGTCTCCTTGCTGATGATATAGTTAAAGTTTCAAAGCTAAGTAACACAGACCATGAATTTCTCAAAGCTTTAGAGTTGCCATTGGTTTCTAAGGTGAGTAAACCAACTCTTTTTGTTTCTTGGAGGAAACCTGCTGTTGGTTGGGTAAAACTCAATGTAGATGGGAGTTCTGTTGGCAATCCGGGACCTTGTGGAGGTGGGGGAGTGATTAGAGATCATGATGGAAATTTGGTTGCTGGTTTCTGTGTTAAATATGGTCATGGAAGCAACAATGAAGCGGAATTGCGCGCTGTCATTTCTGGGGTAGAGCTATGTAAAGAGATGGGTTTTCAACAGGTTGAGATTGAGTGTGATTCAGCAGTAGTGGTTAATTGGTTAACTCACAGTTTATGTAAGATTTGGTATTTGTGGGATTATTGGGATGAGTTATTAAAGTTGCTTAGTGGCATCAGCTTCACTATCTCTCACCAGTATAGAGAAGCTAATAGCGCAGCAGATCTTCTAGCCAGACAAGGGGCGGATGGCCTTACAATGAGATACATGCAATCAGACCAAATACCAAAACTGTTAAGAGGTATTATTCGTATGGACAAGCTTGGTCTTCCTAACATTAGGCAATAGTTGTGCGGTTGATGTGTTATTTTTTATTTGCTTGATTAGAGCTTTTATGGATTCTTGGCTATTATGTTATTTTGTTGGATTGTTGACACGGTATTCCTCCGCCACAAGTGAGGGGTGATTGAATAAAGTATAATTTTATTAAAAAAAAAAGGTGGTGAATTTTTATCCTAATAGAACAAAATCTATCAGTTTACCATACTATTTTGTGAAGCTCTTGGACAGAACACGCTGTAAATTCGTTCAACAGTAACATACCCAACTCGATGTGAACAGCACAAATAAGAGTATCTCAAAAACTGCGCGAGGACAAAAAGAATAAGCAATATTTAGCTAGAAGTATAGAACATGCCTGCTCTCAATCCGTTGCCGAACCAAACCCATCCGCATCTTCACAAGCAAAACCAATTAGAGTTACCATTTCTTGCTAGAGTCCCCGTCCATAAAGGGGTCCGAGTG